GGTAAAATATACATTCTGTTTGCACAAATTCTGATTTTAAATAAATAATCAAAATGCACAGTGTCCATATTTTCTTGACATTAATAATATTCTACTGAGTAGATGAGCAATTACCCAGCATACAGTGTTTTCGAGGCAGAGTGTACTTGTACTTGTTGCGGCATTCACCCGTGATCGGTTGAGCCGGCTTCGTCGAACGAATTTGTCGCATCACGAAAGAAAGCTGAACCAGTTCGGCAGTCAGTTGTAATTGTCTGCAAGAGATAACCAATCATGGTTCCAACGGCGTGTCCTGAACACGCGCGCGGACATAAATATTAATACATATTTAAATGAAATATTCCTACCTAAATAGACTCCATACATATTTAAATAGGGACATCGTATGTCTCTCTCTCTCTCTCTATATATATATATATATATATATATATATATATGTGTGTGTGTGTGTATGTGTATGTGTGTGTGTGTGCATCGATTGTTTAATAAGAAATGAAAGGGGGAGTAAGCACCTCAGATGGAAATTGTTTCGCCTTAGTTATCAAATAATACGTGAACATCACGACAGTGCAAGTATATATATATATATATATATATATATATATATATATATATATATATATATATATATATATAATATGGGCATGATAAAAAAGCATACGTATACACACATATACTTGTACGTACATATATTTTTTCCTCAGGTGTTATAAAAACAATTACGTTATATAACAGAGATATTAAGTATATATTAGTGAATATACATAATATCCCATGTCGACATATATATATATATATATATATATGTGTGTGTGTGTGTGTGTGTGCGTGTGTGTGGTAAAATATCGTGATCTCAGTTTGAGGAATCCAGAATGAAAATTTTTTTCCCTTAATTAGCAAGGGAATTTGTTGTAAATACATTTCGACTTAATCCTCCTAGATCCGAAGAAAGATAAATTCAAATTATCCAAGCATTATTTTTTTAATTGGCTCAGTTTGTATAGAAGTCTTGTAAATGCAATGCTGAAGAGAAAAATCACAAACATAAATAAATATTAAGGAAAAGTATATCCACAGAAAACCAAGCAAATATAGCGTTTGGAGGTTCTCAGCTTTATATGAAAATTGATTTTTTAAAGCCTTTCAAGAAGAGGATAAAATCTACTTAAGAAACTTTTTAAATGTCTCAAGTTTCAGAATTTCATAATATTGTTCCAAAAATCTCCACATATTCATGTTTCTCTGGTTATGATCACATATTCTGTCAGGTCGGCATTTGCGCATTAGAAGCACTGGACGATTTTCATCTAGAGGCGGAAAAATTAACATCGATATTTATTGAGCTTAGTTTAGTTTTCATCCAAAATTCTAGTAATCGAAATTTCTACAATAGTGTTGTAGCATACCTACAGACAATAATGAGTCTGTCCCATTTCGCATAAATACGGTAGTAAATACTGTATGTTGGTCTGCAGTCGGAGATTCGTCTTCAGCTGTGTTGGTCAAACTCTCTAACTTATAGCAAAGAATATCGCCAGACGAGGCTATGTCGAAGGACAGAGTTTCGTCTCGAGAAACAGCTACCCGACACCGTTTTATAAGGGGTCTATGGGGAATTTTTGGCCGAGCCTACGTGCTCGAATACCCCACATTAAATTCGGCCTTGTGCCACATCTGACTGCGTGGAGCGGTTAGTAGATATCCTGTAGCTGGAGATTCATTGTGGAATTTACTTGACTCACTTCTAGCAGTTGACTATTTCTACGCGCCGCTGGCGAATCTTATATGTGTTGTTCTTGTCTTAATTATTATCGTTTATTACCAACCTTCGTGTGATTATTCTATTCAATAACCTTCCCTAGGTTACAACAAGTAGTAAACATTTTTAAAATCATTCAAATACAAGCAAAGGGGTTACTAAGAGTGAAAGAATCTGAGAAAGAAACAATATTAAAAAGAGGGGACAATAAAAGGGCATCATTTTAAAAGGAGATATATAACGGTGGGTAGTGAATTTGAATTTTTAAAGATCAAAGACTACCGGAAAGCATGAAAGTTCCACAAGCGAGAAGTGCTAGAGAAACTCTTAGCATAGAACTTATAAAAGACTAGCAGTAGAGCCCGGCGTTGCCCGGGGATGTAACAGTAAGAGATAGATCAAGTATCGACTATCATAAAGAGTGAAAAATAAAATTGACAAAGATTATTGTTTAAGGTTGACAGACACGCATGTCTTAATTAGTTTTTTGGGGTTTTTTTGTTTTTTTTTATGAATTGGTCAAACCCAAACTCAAACAAAAACATTGTTTCCAATCGTTATGAGTCTACCGATTGAATAGAATTTTATTATAGACAATTGTCTTGTAAATGGAATTTTTAAAGCATTCTGAATGTAAAAATAAAGAAAAAAGTGTGCAAGACAAAAAGAAACACTACCTGCACCCCCAAAAAGTGAAGTTTTGTTGAAATCGGTTGAAAAATGTAGAAACGAACACACACACACACACACACACACACACACACACACACACACACAAAACCTGGGTTTTATAATAAGTATAACTCGATATGAGTTGTTCTCCTTTCATTCTCGCGACAGCGATGCCTCTTAATCGTGTTTTCAAATTGATTTCGTGCAAAAATAATTGTGTTTTTCCAATTTTTGGCGCTATCAGAACCACCGCAAGGTAATTTTACGTAGTCCTCTGAAGTTTTGTTGAAATCGGTTGAAAAATGTAGGAAATCCGATCCAATATATAAACGAACAGACACACACATACACACACAACCTGGGTTTTATAATAAGTATGATGAGACCTAGCTGCTAATCTAGTACTGGATTTAAATTTGTAAACTCGAGGTACGCAAGACGGCATCTCATTAGAACCATTATGTTTATTCTAATATTTATAGAAAACGAACGGGGAATCTACGTTATGGCAGTGGGAAAGTGATTGAAGTCGAGATGCCAGCTCAGGATTAATAACACTGCAGATGCTTCTGGAAATTTCAAGAATCTATAGATGCCGAAGCAGCAGACCATATGAGACAGTAATATTCAATGCGTGGGTGAATGGTAGACATATAAAGGCGTAAAATACGTTCTGGCAATGAAATTGTCTCGGAGTACACAGTGAACTAAATTTCCTAGCAACAGATCTAGCAGTCGATTCAATATAATCGTTGCACTTCATGTCACCGGAAAACGTTATCTGGCTCAATGAGTCATTCAACTAGATGTTGGAATAAGTAATGCTGATGGGAGGCGGAAAGGTTCTTTAAGAGATCAGTTTCGTTTTGGAAGCGTTAAAATTAACAAGACATTTCTTGCCCCAGTTAACAACAATATGGAGATCTATTTTTGAGATCTATCAAATCTATCAGACTTACCGTTAAGACAGGAGCAAGTAGTCGTATCTTCATCATAGATACTGAATCGAGAACTGATGACATCGGAAAGATCGTTGATGAAACAAAGTAATCTGTTAAATTCGGTTGTTATCTTTATAATATAAATTCCCTGCACATCTTCTGCGCGGGGTTTGGCAAAGCGGGTCGTGAACTAACTGCTACATCCTATGTATCGAGTTCATTAAGGACGTGGAATATCATGATTCTGTGTAACTTCCTATCCTTCTTCGATCTAGTTTTGTTTTTATCTCCTTCCTAAGCATCTTAGTCCATGTTCTGCTACCCATTCATAAAAGCTCCGTAGCTCGTTTTTTTGATGTTTACCTCTGATCATCTTGCTTTCACTAGATCCTGTGAGTATCAAATTCTGTCAGTCTACTTTCCTCATTATATGTCCTGGATATTTCAACTACCTCTTTCGATGTACAAGTGTCGTTTTTATTTCCATTTTTTATTAAAACTTCCCAGAAGCTCACACGTTTCGTTCATGTTATTCTCAACACTTATTTGTAGAACCACATTGTTGACCATGTTTGCCGTTGTCTTTGAATATCAGAGGTTGGCAGTGAAGATTCAGAGAAAGTGGCAGCTGTTAAGTAATTCTTCAGGTCTTCGATATCAGAGGTTGGCAGTGAAGATATTTTTAGAGAAAAAACAAATGGCTGCCTTTATACACGTCGGATTGAATATTTTGAGCTTTCTGATTGGTTAACCCTTCTATCGGTGAACTATAAAATGAGTCAGTTCATTTTGGCTGGCTCACTAGGAGTGCCGTACCCAAAAATTCCAACACACATCACTGTTTCCTGAAGGCTGTATTTCATCTGTGAGGAAATTGTCCAGCACTTATAGGATAACTGAAATTAAAGAGCAGTTTAGTACTACTATTGTAGTCTCTTATGGAATTATAGTGTTTCGTAATATTTTGTTTATTCAAATCAGTGTTCAAACAATTAATACAAGATTTGAAATTGAAGTTGGTAATTACACGGCGAGATTATTTGAAATATAAAATAATCTCTTTATAACTTCTTGATTACCTTAACGAATTTAAATAGATAATTTCCCCAAACAACGCAATAAAAGTCACTAGTATGCAAAGTATTAATGAGTGGGGAAAAAGATAGCGTGGACAACCCCCCCCCAAACAAACAAACCAGGATTCAAGCAAACAGATGACGAAGGTTGTAGTTGACAGGAAAGCGGGAAACGGAAAGAGGGTTCTACAAACGAGAGGTGCTAAAGAAGAAAATATTAGTAGAGAACTTATTGTTACAACTAGCAATTTAAACAGTGGAATTATGAGACCATGTTCTGCGCTTAAATACATGAAATCGAGGCACCAAAGAGGAAAGCTCATCATAGTATAACCATAAAAATGTATCTGTCTATATTTCGGAGATGAGGTATTAAGTACACTATTCACATTGCTGGGATATCTATCTATCTATCTATCTACGCCTGACTGATTTTGGTATCAGTCTATATTTCTGAGATGAGGTATTATGCACACTATTTACATTGTTCAGACTATCGTTCTCATCTTTGTTGCCATATTTATCACAACGTTACGATTGTTGTACGCCCAGGCGTTCTTCAAGTGTTTGGAATATCTATCTATCTATCTATCTATCTATCTATCTATCTATCTATCTATCTATCTATCCCTGATTGATTTTGGTATCTGACTATATTTCTGAGATGAGGTATTATGTACACTATTTACATTGTTCAGACTATCTTCCTCATCTTTGTTGCCATGTTTATCACAACGTTTGATGGTTAAGGCGGTGGAGAACTTGGAGAGAGGAATTAACAGGAGATAACTGATAAATGACACCCATTAGACATGACACGTGGAACTAGAACAGTCTACCCCAGTGAGCGAAATAAAGGGTTCAGTTCGACATTCCAACCAACTGAAGAAGGCCGGAGCGTACAACGGCCGAAACGTTGTGATAAATATGGCAACAAAGAAGAGCGCGATAGTCCGAACAATGTAAATAGTTAACCATAAAATATTTATAGAGAAAACAAATGGATGCTACGTTAAGGCGATGGGAAAGTGACTGACGCCGAAATGCCAGATCACGACCGATAACATTACCGAATCTAGATTGGATTTATTCGTGAATCTCTAGATATAAAACAGTAGTACAATACCATATGTGGCAACGATATTCGATGCATGGACTAATGGTAGACTTCAAAATGTTTAAGATAGATTCTGGGGAGGAAAAAATCTCAGTGGAAAACGTGAAACCAAGATGGTGGCATGATGATGTATGATGTTTCAATCCCGTCCTCAGTCACCGCGCGAGTCCGTAGTCGGACCTTACGGTCAGCCTTGGAGTTGATTGTTCGATCTTCAATCCCGACCCTGCCTACATTGTGTTTGTTTTAGGTCACAGGGCGGGCGAAGGCCGAGTTGTAGACTCAACGTCGCTGATCCGGCAGCTTTGGCGAGATGACGTCACAAGGAACAAAATAAGAGACAGGTTTGTAACTCAATAACTTTATATCAAAGGTTTATACAATGAACATTCTACTGACTAGATTAACAGCATGAAGATTTTCAGCACCTTACCCGCTAATACCCTGTAGCGCTATGTCTAGTCACACTCGGTAAACTGATACAAGGCTGAAGTCTGATTTCTTCCACTTTGTGATTTCTTCGGGCCGACCATTAAGGTGTATTTGGTAGTTTGGAAACAAGGCCGAAGTCTAAGATCTATCTGCAGAAGCTGCGCGGCGTTTTGGCAAAGCGGGTCGTGAACTAACTGCCACGTGTCTCTCTCGCAAACCACAATTCGAGCTCTCTGGTTCCTTCTTCCCCGTCTCTCGTCTCAATCGTCTGTATTTATAGAACCTTGCGCAAACCCGGTGCGGGCCTGAGTTGATCGGGAAATTGATTGCCTGACCAAATTTAAGCGAGAAAGAGTGCTGGTTGCAGAATATTGATCCGCCCAACTCCTTTAATCTCGAGTGGATGCCTCTCACCATCACCGCTCGAGGGGTGTAGGCAATTCCTCCATCTTCCTTGAAATTCTACCTGGACCTTTACCTCTCTCTTTTTCTCTTAATCAAACCTGTCCCCCGCGGCTAGGTGTGGTCTAGCCCAAAGTGCTAAATTCAATTATCATCCAAAATTTCCATTAGTGGGGAATTCATATCGCGTCCTTGTATGGTCGGCTGCAACTCGGATTCTTTACCCGTTACTTCTCCAGCTTTTTGTTCAACAAGCAGCAAAAAGAGACAATGCTTAATAAATTCCTAATTCTTATAAATTTTATCACGTCTTAGGCAGATGAAGGAAAAATATGACTACAATGCCATTCCTGTTTTCCAAGTCCTCTCAACTGACCGAACTTGCTGTTAGCCTCTATTTATCTCCCAGACACATAACTCGCCGCTCATTAAAATACAGTCTATTCATCCGCGCGGGGTCGATTGGACACTTAAGAAAATACCATCACTTTACATCAACTTGACTAAAAATGTTGGTGCTTATGCCAGCCATCGTCGGCATCTCACAATCACTTCAGTGTGAGAGAAAAAAGAAATATCGTCTACCTCGAATCTACTTGTCTTTCATATCAGTATACTTTCAGTTTATCGAAAACAGCATTTCTCTTGCTATCAGTATACTTTCAGTCTATCGAAAAACAGAGTTTCTCTTGTTTCCGAGTTTACTTTTTAAAAGTGTTTTTTTTTTCAATTTACCATCGCCTTCTTAATAGTGCCACAACGGAACGCAAAAAAAAGTTCTTTACGATGTTTCATGGAGAATAGCGTTGTTTTAGACGTGTTAAAATTGACAAGCCATATTTTGCCTCAAATGCACAAACATTGCAATCAATTTAAACCTAATCAACTTCGAGCCTATACTTGTACCGCATGTATATATATATATATATATATATATATATGATATATAATATATATATATATATATATATATATATATATATATATATATATATATATATATATATATGATTTTATGTTTGTCTTTCTTTTTTTCTTTCTTTAAATTTCAACCTAAAGAGATTCATTTTTTCTTGGTTTCTTGTTCAAGCCTACGCTTAATTATTGAAAGTGAAAGCCTCATAAAAGTTTATTACTTTTGGCTCATTCACGTCAACAAAAAATAAATAAACAGCTTTCTTGAAAAGAATCGAAAAGTTCAGTTTAATATCCTGAGATAAAGATTCAAATCCTTGTGAGAGAGGAAGAGTTAAAATAATATTTTTGTTACATTCTATTTTATCTAAGGTTTGAAATAATTACTTTTCTTTCCTTATTCAACAACTTTTTTTTTTTAAAAAGAAAACGAACAAGCAAAATAACATAATTCAAATGAAAAACATCATAAATTATTCAATGATTGCACTGAATTTTAACTCCTCTTTGAGACGGATCTAGTAAAGTGAAAGTGAAACTAGAACGGAACCGTCTTTGCGTATCAGACTATAAGGAAGCATTTATAAATTGTTATTACGCATGTTTTCTTTCTCGAACGCGCATGAAATTAAGCATGGCTTTTGAAAAAGCGGATATTCGTATGTATCTTTATTAGAAAACGGCTTACATTATCGTAACTATAGCCATTAAAAATGTATCAAGCACAAGCGTTACGAAAAGTTCCACTGTAATAAACGGATCGCCAGATGTTCGGAAAAGGTCAGCACTGTTGGTCAAGCCTATCTTTTTCTGTAGACGTGGCGGCTACCACGCTTTGTAGAAATACAATAAAAATATGAGTCACAGTAATGGTAGTGCCGTCATTCATCTACATCTAATGTAATGAACACTTGAAACTGGCAAGAAGATACCTATTGTAAAGGACACCTATTCTAATTGTTTCTAACATAATTTTCTTACAAAATATAAGTGTCCCGTAATAATTGGGATATATTATACTAGAAATGACACTGATGTTCGGCACGCTTTTCTCTTTGTTTCTAACGCAATATTTATAAAAATTGGAAGTATCCAGCAATTATTACATATAGGATATTAAATATGAAACAGCAGTTTGGAACACTTCTCGTTGTTTCTAACGTAATTTTACATAGAAATAAAATTTATCCAGTATTTATTGCCATATAAGATATTAGATATGATACAGTAGTTTGGCATTCTTTTTTCTTTCTTTCTAACACAATTTTGATAAAAAAAATGAAATTGTCCAGCAATATTGCAACATATTATATTTTTTTTTTTTTTTTTAAGTATTTCCCCCAAAGCAAGGCGGGAAGCCACTAGGACGCAAGGGGTTACAGAAAATAGGAAGATCAGATAGGAGTGATAGAAGAAAGGATGAGAGTAGTAGATAGATTAAGGCAACTGGAGATGTCGATTGACATTACACTTGAATAGCTGGAGGTTATAACTCTCAGGGAAACAGGAGAAGGGAAGAGAGTTCCACAGGCGAGAGGTGCGAGACATGAAGCTATTAGAGTAGAAGAGACGGCTACATTTAGGAGTTTCGACAGTGAAGGGGTGAGAGCGGGATGCCAGCCTCGTAGGGCGCTTGAACTCATGAAGTCTGGGAACCAGCGAATGCAGCTCCGAGGAGCAATTTCCATGAAAGTATTTGTAGAACAGACAGAGGGAGGCGACAGTGCGTCTGTGATTAGATATGACACAGCAGTTCGGCACTCTGGTTCTAACACAATTTTGATTAAACAATGAAATTGTCCAGCAATTATTGCGACATATTATATTAGATATGAAACAGCAGTTCAAAACTATTTTGTTTGCTTCAAACGCAGTTTTTATTTAAAAAGTACCCGGCAATTATTGCCATATAGGCTATCAGATATGTCACAGTAGTTAGGCGCTATTATGTTTGTAAGGCAATTTTTACAAAATATAAATTATCTAACAATTATTGCCATTTAGGATATTAGATATGACACAGCAGTTCGGCGATATTCTCTTTGTTTTTAACGCAATTTTCATAAAAGAAAAACAAAAGAAAAAAAACAGAAAATGTCCAGCAATTATTGCCACTCAAGATATATATGACAGCTATTCGGCACCTTTCTCTTTGTTGCTAACTCTATTTTCCTATCTCTTAATCATTCTTTTTTTCTGAGAGACGTCTTTTATTAAGCATATACACTTTTATTAAGCATATACACTTTTATTAAGCATATACACTTTTATTAAGCATATACACTTTCTGGTTTCTATGTTACATTTTCTGTCACCTTTCTGTCTCTTTTCTTGACTACATTATATTTTGTTTTCTTACAGATAAAAGTTCTTCCTTCTTACCTTCTTTTGCGCTACCTGCATTTCTAAAATGAAACTAATAAACCTATAAAAGAATCTTGCAAATTAGCTTAAAATACGATGGAAATAATCATTATTAATAAAAACGCTGCTTCTTAGAACTGTGCGAATGAGTTTGATTTCACTCTAATGGCCATTAGACTAGAAATGTTTTTCTGTATCACTCTATTTGTCATATACGTTCAGGACATAGGGTCTCCATAATATCCTGCTTTTGTTTCTCTTCACCTTCTTTTTTATGACGCCCGCTTTTTCTTTCTGGTACTCGTTGCTTCCTTTCTGCTCAAACCTTTCAAGTTCGTTACTTGATGCTTTTTCCGTGATTTTTTTCTTCTGGAATCTGCTGCTTCCAGTATGTCCTCTGGGTATTAAATTCTCCAAAACTCCCAGCCTCATTACGTTTACGTTTCACTTTAGAACGTCTTTATTTGTCAAATTTTCTGCCCATATTATTAACGACATTCTTCAGTAGAACCATTGCCTGAAGTCTTTTTATTTATTTGTGACAAAATTCCCCGGCGCTCCCCACGATATATGAACGCCTACTTTTGCATAGAAGTCCAGTTCTCTTTTCTTCGTTTCATTGTAATTTTTTTAATCCTATGTACCTTAATAAGATTATGAAATGTATCTTTTATTATTGCATTGAACTTTGCGCTTGTCACCGTCAGATACTACTTGAATCTCCTCACTTGTCTAATTTCGTTGTCCCCGGGTGCTATGCTCACACCTGAAGCCGGTTCAATTATTTCTCGCCATGCTTTCCGTCTTCTTGCCAGTCTTTCTTTTTTTGCTATCCGAGAATACATTCCTTAGTATTTCTTTCAGATTTACTTCTGAAACTGCCATCAACACATTGTTTAAATAAGTCTGTATTGCTACGATGTCACTTGTACAAATCAAGATACCGCTGGTTCAATTTGCCGTTCTTGCTTTCTGAACACTTCACAACGTATATTCGTCTTTCGTTCTGCCCCTTTTCACTGCTTCAGCCCTCTTTTATCAGGCCAACACCGCGGTCGACCAACCAATCAGCGTTCTTCACTTTTATTCTCAGTTACCCAGGCAAATAGCCTCCTCCAGTTCGACCAATCAGCACACGACTTACTTGCTATTGGTTGAAGCATGCCAAACTGTACAAAAACCCTCCTTACCGCACATACTGCTAGACAGGAGAGTAATGCCATTTTCATGGGGGCAAACTTGCCGATGTCACGTGCCGCTCGTCAAGGTAAGACCCTTATTTTCCTATGCACCAGATGCAAGCCACTCTGGCTCGCTTGCTCCTACGGGGCTGTTCACCACACCTGCGTAGTATATTTTGCTAATGATTTTTCTGCCGATAAGAAAACAAGTCTTCTAATTATGCTGAAATTCTTTCTCTGTACAGGTTAAATAAACGAGATGAGAAAATATAGCTTTGTTCTATTTCTTTTTTCTGTTTTAGTGTACTCATGTAATTCTTGTCTCTGTGTATGCAAAACATTTGCTCCAAAATGCGAATTATTTGCATATCCGTTCCGTGTAAATCCAACTTTTCTAACATTTCAAGC